ACCGCCTTCACTGTGTTTACCTTCAGAAATAGTCATTAGTAAGGCTAAAGAGCGACCGCAGGCTGATGTGTTTTAACCACACACACCTATATATACACACACACGCGATTTAAACGCAGACTTTTGTTCCTCCATGTTTCGTTGTTATTGTTTCACTGAGCGAGCGGATCCGCGATTTTTTTTCAAACGCTTTTTTGGTCCATCTGCGGCGGTAATAGGTTTTGTGCGCTGTGATGATTCGGCTGTACCTACTATGAATATTAAATGTTGAGAGGAAATCTTTCCACCAATAATTCCAATAAGTAATCTAAAATGTATTCACTTCAGGTTTACGAAAGTAACTGTAATCAGATTACTCGTTTTTCAAATGTAACGCGAGCTGAATACAGTTACTTGATTTGTGTATTCTGATTACGTAACGCCGTTACATGTATTCCGTTACAACCCAACCCTGAGTGTAATGCGCTACTTTTATAATTCAGTAATCAAACTACAGTTAGCCTACTAACATTGCCCCGACACGCGTTACTTCATTACTTACTAAAATCAGTCATAATCAAACCTCAACAAACACCTTCAAAGAACACATGCTAAGGTGAAGCTAACGCACAGCTATTTGTTGTTTGTTTATATCACGCAGTCTGTTCTTCTTCTCTGTCTTCCAGTTGTTGCCTGTTTTGAATGACGAATACACACTACCGCCGCCTGTTGGTAAGGAGAGTTATTGCCACTCACGCATGCGCAGTTCGTACGTGCTCGGCTGAAGTCTTGGCGGTGTGTTCCAGTGCAACACATGGCCAACACGCAGGAGAACACGCCGACGCAACAGCGTGAGCAGAGATAGACTGCACAAAATATATAGATAGCAGGAGACAGAGGACAGCCACGGTCAGATAGGAAAACATTCAGTATCTGGATCAGTCTTATGCGACAATGGAAACTGAACTAAAGAGAACATTTGAAACTTTAGCAGTCTGCGTGATCTGCCTGTAGGGAGGGGCGGGCCGGCCCTGCGAGTAAAGTAACGAGTAAAGTAACGAGTTACTTTATGTAGAGAGTAACGAAGTAGTGTAATATATTGCTTTTTTTTTAAAAAGTAATATGTAATATACTACTTTTTGTTAGTAACGACCCCATCTCTGATCACGGGGACTGTAGTCCTAAACGAAAGCTGGGGATTATGGGTAGTGTCTTCGGCCATCCTAAACTCAGAAATGTTTTTCGGATTTAATATCGTATTAACACCATATCCCTACATATGGGCTCAGAACAGTCTCATAATACACACATGCACACAGAAGGATTCACACTTGTATTTCCGGATCCACACTTGTGTTTTTTAATGCACACACAAATGTGTTCCGTTTCATATAGGACATGTAAATAAAATCCAATTACAGAAAAAAGTCTTACATGTGTATTTTTGATCTTCACATATTTGTTTTCCATTTAAAACCTCTGAACCTGCAAACACAAACAGCTTTCTGTGCACGGATCGCTGTGCATTCGTGTGTGTTTTTTTTTAGACTCCCCTGACGTTCACCCGATTCGTACTTGTAATTTTTTCTATCTATAGCCAATCAGATGTCTCCTTCATTCTAAGCCAATCACATGAGCGCGCCCCCACGAGGGTATGATTTCTTGCGTTCATGACGTAGCGCTTCATATACGCATTTTGCGCTGTCCGGTCAGCTCGCTAAAGGCCCTGTCACACTGTCCCGAAATTGACACCCGATGGACACACGATAAAGGAAATGTTCAAATTCGGCTGTGATCGTAGCAACATCGGGCCATTCGTGAGGGCATCTTAAGCCATCGTATGACCGCCGGTGGAGTTTCTCAGGCTCCGGCAGCAACTTCGTGAGCGGCAACTTCGTAAGGCATCGTGAGGGCATCTTGTCAAATCGTGTCATCTTCGTGTTATCATCGGTGCATTCACCCTCACTCTGATCGGGGCGAATGCCCGATGGCACCGATGATAACAAGATGCCCTCACGATGGCCTTACGAAGGGCACAATTGACACACGAATTCAACACGAAAATGAACCTTCGCAAGGTCCTTCGGCAATTTTTTGGCATGCCAAAGATTTTGCCACCGCTCACGAAGTTGCTGCCGGAACCTGAGAAACTCCACCGGCGGTCATACGATGGCTTAAGATGCCCTCACGAATGGCCCGATGTTGCTACGATCACAGCCGAATTTCAACATTTCCTTTATCGTGTGTCCATCGGGTTGTTTTATTGCACAACAAAATCATGTAAATATATTATGTAAATAACCCAATTTGTGTTCTGTGAAACTAAAAAGGATATAATATATTATTTTGAAGGACAGTTGACAGGAAGTTGTTGTTGTTATGGAAACAACATTACGGAGAAAACGTAATATTTTCTACATATAACGACGGATAAAGTAAAGAACAAAGTCTGAAGATATCAGTACAGTATCATAGTACTGTAACATAATTGTTTTTGGTACTTTCATTGCAGTTGTATGTCTTAAATGTAATGTAAATGTTGCCTTCGTGTGTGGTTCGGGGCCATCTTCGTGCGAAATTCACAATTCCATATTCGTGTGTCCATCGGGTGTCAATTTCGGGACAGTGTGACAGGGCCTTTAACAGAGGGCGGAGCATCAGGTGATTATGCAGAGCTGCGTGTCTGTCTCACCCAGCAGCTGATCTGATCTCTCTCTCGCGTCCGGTTATACTTCACTCGCGTTTATGTCCATATCGATCAGATCCAGCTCTCCTGATCGGCCTTTATAGAGAGCACCGATCAAACTATTAAGAGTGAATATCTGCCGATAATGACCGGCGGGGCTCCCCCCGTTGACAGTTCATTGTCTAGCACTGGCTTCGTAGTGCACTGATCGATTAGGCTAAGCTAACCTGTAGCCAGGGCCGGACTGGGACAATATGTCAGGCCGGGAATTATACACCCAGCCAGGCCACTACCAGTTTTCTTTTGTGCCATTTTCCTGGATTTATTTGTCAATATTTACAGCGTTGCTGCCCATAGTGATAGCCCTAAACTTTAAATCTACTACCCCAGAATAAACATATGGACATGGGCTACTATTTAAAAAAAAATTGCAAATCTATTTAGGAACCTATCCATGTGAACATATTTTAAGTGGAGGTGGACCTCAAATCCTCTAGGGGGGTCCGGGACACACAGAGACCAATCGAGGGCTTTAGTGTATGATCTGTATGAAAGTGTTCATGTCGGCAGGCCACATCATGTAGACAGCCAGTCACCCTCTGTGAGGCAGAGTCAGACCCACATTTGCGAAGCGTTGCGTTGACAATACATACATAAAGAAAAAAAAATCCTCAGGCCAGCAGGCCACTTAACAGGCCAGGACATCGGGAAACCTCCCGGTCCTCCCGATGGCCAGTCCGGGCCTGCCTGTAGCTGCTCCCTCCCTCCACACTCACAACATTACATTACATTACATGTCACTTGTTAGACACTTTTATCCAAAGCGACTTACATACTCAATACTGTGGGCAATCCCCACAGGAGCAATTTGGTGTGAAGTGTCTTGCCCAGGGACACAACGACATGCTCACTGCAGTGGGGTTTGAATCTGTGACCTCCTGATCCGAATACCAACTCACAACCCACTGCACCACACGCCTCACAACAACTTCATACAGACATAAATAAAGCAGCTGTATTCGCCACACAGGAAACACACATTTAAAACGGTTTTGCCTGCCGTTTTTGTGTACACAAGCATTCATCAATGGTTCGGAAAGTGGTGCTGTACCTTAATAATATAAAGGCTTGTATTTGCGTGCATTTCCTGTTCGGAAAGTGGCGCTGTACTGAGAGTGGAGGTGTCCTGAGATTAGCGCCCGCAGGCAGGCTCCATGGACCTGTCAGCTCCGGACTGCGCAAAATGCGTACATGAAGCGCTACGTCATGAACGCAAGAAATCTACCCTCGTGGGGGCGCACTCATGTGATTGGCTTAGAATTGAGGAGACATCTGATTGGCTATAGATAGAAAAAATTACAAGTACGAATCGGGTGACCGTCAGGGAAGTCTCAAAAAACCCACACACGAATGCACAGCGATCCGTGCACAGAAAGCGGTTTGTGTTTGCAGGTTCAGGGGATTTAAATGGAAAACAAATATGTGTGGATCAAAAATACACATGTAAGACTTTTTTCTGTATTTGAATTGTATTTACATGTATATGAAACGGAACACATTTGTGTGTGCATTGAAAAACACAAGTGTGGATCCGGAAATACAAGTGTGAATCCTTTTGCGGATCATGAAATACAAGTGTGAATCCTTCTGTGTGCATGTGTGTATTATCAGACTGTTCTGAGCCCATACATTGCGGCTAAAACATCCAATCAGCGAGCTTAAACCATAGCTGAGGATCTTGGGTAATCAGTTCAGTGGCTGTGTATCGCAATGATGCTCAAAATGTCCGTTATAGGCCTACGTCTGTTTCCGGTTCTTTTTATTTTGAAATTCAGTTCCTGACGGACGCCAAAAAAGCCAGAGATTATGGAATTAAACAAATAAATAAAAACAAGGATAATTGTGTGTTATTGGTGAGTAAATAACAGTGTGTTATTTAGAAAATAATAACAAATTAGAAGGGAAAAAAGATTAAAAAAAATACAGATTTCAGTATTCTGAGGCTCTGAGCCCCATTTATTTTCCTCACAGACGACAAAAAAGTCCGACATTATACGATTTAAAATAAAAACAATAATCGTGGCTTGATATTGAGTAAGAACATGTTTTTATGGGACAACATTCTCTTCTTTCCTGTCAGAAAAGATGGTCATTTGTATCCTAGGCTTAAGGAGAGATAGACTGCGGTACATTTAATAATTTCAATGTAATCCCTGACAGGATACATACTGATTGATTTTAACAGGAAAATGCAGGCCCTAATACAGTACAGATTAATACTAGAAGGAATTCCATGCTACTGAATCAACTCTACTGTGTTTGTGCTGCCTTACAGATCACCACTGACCTCCGACACCGCTGCACTGATGCTCATACCGGCACTTCTGTCTCCGCTCCCATTGTGGCTGGAGTCATCGCTCTCGCCCTGGAGGCCAAGTCAGTCTGGCTGTTTGCATCTGTCTTCTGTATTTTCTTATGTCTTCTAAGACCTTCTGCTGCCAACTTAAAGGTCCCATGTCATGGCCATTTCTACTGTTCATAATTCCATTGTTGAGGTCTACTAGAATAGATTTACATTGTTCAATGTTCCAAACTCACATTGGTTTCTCATACAGCATCTCTGTATAGCATGTGTATTCACTATCTGTCCTAAACGGCTTGTTGGAGCTCCTGCCCCCCCCCCTCCCTATGAGCCCACTGTGCTCTGATTTGTCAGCTTGCCCACTCTGTTCTGATGAGTCCACCACCGTTACAGCGGAACATCAGTGATTATGTGTTACCATGGCGTTTGTTAGCAACCAGAAAATGACACCAGCAATGACTAACAGATGAGAATGCTGCGTGGGGTCTGGGTGCCGTGTTGGCGGGACATTGCGGGGCTCGCTGCTGAGCGGACAGTGTGAGCTGGCTTGCTGGTGTTGTTTCCTGGTTGCTGCGTGTGGTCTGCGGGACGACGGGACACGGCGAGGCCCGGCCCGAGCTCGGCCGGAGCACACACACACCCGCAGCCTGGCCGTGGGTCTGTGTGTGTGCTCAGACCGGGCCCGGGCCGGGCCTCGCCGTGTCCCGCTGTCTCAGGCTGAGGAATCCGCGGAGCTGCAGCTGAGAAAAATGGTTGGTGATTGGCTAATGGTTACACAAGCCAAAAAATCGTTATGACATCATAAAGTGGCCAAAATCTGATCGGCTCATTTTCAGACAGGTTTTTATATAAATGGATCAGGACAAAAAGTGAGTGAATCTTTTTTCCTGAAACTTTCAGAATCTCTTTACACAGAGGGGACACATGTTGATGTATACAACACATGAACAAGTGGATTTTGCATAATAGGTGACCTTTAAATGTCAAGAGACTCTTTCTATAAATGATAAATATAAATGAGGTTTTTTTTTTGTTGGCACGATGTTACCATAATTTCTTGATGAAATGTCAGGGGTTCTTAAAACAGCTGGAATTTGCTTTGTGGCACAGATATATCAGGCTCTGGGATACACACACAACACATGTTGGTAGGATACATTCATTGTTGGTTCTGGCCTTTTCATGGGATATGCTAACAATAAGAAAAACGTTTTATCCCCCACTCTAATCCTTTTAGTCTAGTTAACGATACATGGTGTCTTGCCTCTTTCCGTATATTTTCTTTCTTCATGTGTGAATGTACTAGAGCCTAAAGGCTTAGGATAACCAGAGGAACAATCTGCTCAAAACATGGCACATTCCTTCGAAACCTGGTTGAACTACAGACATTGAATTGTCCTGAGGTGAACTGTGTGTTTGGTTTCTGCAGCCTTTTGCTGACGTGGAGAGATGTGCAACATCTTCTGGTGAAGACGTCCAGACCAGTCCACCTGAAAGCTGATGACTGGAAGACCAACGCTGCAGGACTCAGAGGTAAGCTTAATTAATACAACAGTAAAGCCTTAGATAATTCTAGAAGGTTTAACTCTCTTTATGCTGTGTTTGTCTTTTCTCACAGTGAGCCACCTCTATGGTTTTGGCCTGGTGGATGCAGAGGCCATGGTAGTGGAGGCCTCCAAGTGGAGGACTGTTCCTCCTCAGCACACCTGCAGTCGGGTTTCTGAGCGGCGCACCAGGTGAGGGAAACTGCAGGCAGGTGCAGTGGAGGCTTAAGGTTTGGCTTGACCTCCATACCTGTATCCTGTATAAAGCTCTCTGATCTCCAAAAAAGTAGCAATGAATCCTTGGTGCATTCATGACGGACTGAATTCAGACTGTTTGAGACTCATTTTAAGGCAGATGTTGAAATTAGGTGGATTCATCAATTTCTTCAACACACAGACACAGTATTTACCACTCCCATTCAATTGTGTCAATAATCATTTTGGGGAAATCTCCTCCCACTGTCTGATGATCTTAATGGTCCCATGTCATGGCCATTTCTACTGATCATAATTCCATTGTTGAGGTCTACTAGAATAGATTTACATTGTGCAATTTTCCAAACTCACATTGGTTTCTCAAACAGCATCTCTGTATAGTATGTGTATTCACTCTCTGTCCTAAACGGCTTGTTGGAGCTCCTGCCCCCCCCCCCCCCCCCCTGTGATTCCACTGTGCTCTGATTGGTCAGCTCGCCCACTCTGTTCTGATGAGTCCACCACCGTTACGGCGAAACATCCGTGTTTATGTGTTACAATGGCGTTTGTTAGCAACCAGGAAATGACACCAGTAATGACAAACAGATGAGAATGCTGCGTGGGGTCTGGGTGCCGTGTTGGCGGGACGTTGCGCGGCTCGCTGCTGCGAGGAGCGGACAGTGTGAGCTGGGTTAATTTCCTGCTTGCTGCGTGGGATCTGCGAGACAGCGAGACATCGCGAATGGATGTGGGAAGGGGGGGGTGCTGAGGGGGCTGCAGCACCCCCATCTACGAGGCTCCACTCCCCCCCAAACGCGGCGCACCTACAGTGTAAGCGTGCCACAGTTTCGCTGCTGTGAGGCTCCACCACTAGCAACCCACACCCCCCCCCCCAGCGCGTCACAGTTTCGCCGCTGCTGAGAGTGTGTGTGTGAGGAGCTACACAGATTGGTCCATTTGGACCAATGGGTCCATTTGGGTATGGGCACGTCACTGTACCCAGGAAGAAAAAGAGAAATCTCCGAAACCTCCAACGAGACGTTCTGGGGCAGCATATACAGGTCTTTTCTGTGTTAGAGTTTTACACGCTACAGGGTGTACTTTGAGGTTTTGTGACTTTGCAGACCGTTTACATGCAGAAAAACCTTCATAACACACAAGGGGACGGGTAATAACCAGAAAAGCATGACATGGGACCTTTAAGTCAGTCAGGGTCTATCTTTTCTGTCCTTGTGAAAACGGCAGCTAAATAAAATGCTTGTTACTGAGTTGTTGGTTCTCTGTTATGATTATATAAAGCAACGAGAATAAAAGCTCTGGTTATCTCTACACATACACCTGATCCCTGATCAGGTCAACTACTAATTGATCGGTGTGTGTGTGTAAGATCACAAACGTTGCATCACTTTTAGTTCGTAGACACAAATAATTTGTGTTATCTTAACGATAGCTCAACCCAATATTGACCTACCTGCAAATATGCCATGTGTTGTGAATAGTGAAAATGCCATGTCCATTCAGAAAGTACTTTAACTTGTTAGACATGTGGTAGGGATTTATTTAGGTATAAATCGCTTGTTAGTATACATATCTACAGTACACAATCCCAATCTGAATTGAGAAGTAGAACATTTTCAAAAACACATGTCAGAGAAATCCCTTTTGGCTGCTGTGTGTGTGTGTGTGTGTGTGTGTGTGTGTGTGTGTGTGTGTGTGTGTGTGTGTGTGTGTGTGTGTGTGTGTGTGTGTGTGTGTGTGTGTGTGTGTGTGTGTGTGTGTGTGTGTGTGTGTGTGTGTGTGTGTACATAGTCGTGCAAATTCCATAATGAATGACAGATGTTTGGGCCATGACATTACCCTTCTCTTGTTAAAATAAAAACCATGTGCATATCTTACTCAACAGCCCAGAAACTAGATTTGAAGACTTAAATTGAAAATTGTATTTGTTAATATCTTTACAATACAATAATAACAAAATCCATAATTCAACACATATGGATTAACTGTTGTCATGTGGTGTACAAGGGCTTTGATTGGGTGCTAGAATAAAAAGGAGCTTTATAGTTGTAAGAGTATTCACTGATTTAGATTTTCTCCCAAAGCTTTTCCCTTATGCTGAACCAACCATATCAAGAGAGGGCAATCTAAAAGTCATCATGTTTTTGACTATTATATAAATGCTAATGCTTACGGCTGTCCCAGACACATCCATGCTGGCCAGCGTCTCAACAGCAGCATAACCACCTCTGGGTATTCAGGAGATCTGGAGCAGCACGTGGGTCACCTGGAACACGTGGTGGTGAAGATCCTGATTGTCCACCCACGCCGAGGAGACCTGGAGATCAAGCTCATCTCTCCATCTGGGACCAGAACACAGCTGCTGGCCAAGAGGTGAGATATTTTTTGTTTATACAAAAAAGAAAATTAGACATTTTTATCAGCTGCACCAGGAGCTCTGTGAGCTTTAACTCTGAGAGAGTGATTTGAACTACGGACCACTGACACAGGGATTCCTCCTCTCACTTTATTGGCATCCTGTGTCATTCTAACAGGCAGCTGCCAGTAACATATTGGGCTAGTAGTGCATGTCATATTCTGATTGCGTTAAATCTGGTTTGAGCAGATTGATCAATAAAGTCTGAATTAGGTTTTTAAGTGTCACCAGCAGTGATGTGATCTGGTCCCAGATGGAGAGATGAGGTTGATCCAAAATTGCAATCATGTGTAAATGGTTCAATGTAAAGTGCTCTGAATGGGTAATTCAGCCCATGATCTTTACCTCACCTTTCCCACTGTTATGTTCACAGGTTGTATGACAGTTCCAACGAGGGCTTCAGGAACTGGGAGTTCATGACAGTTCATTTCTGGGGTGAGAGGGCAGAGGGCACATGGACTCTAGAGATTGTTGACTCACCATCAAAGCTACGCAACCCTGAGGTGCTGGGTAAGGTCCAGGATAAGAGTCCTCAGGCATCACATTTACAATTAAAATGGAAGCAGATGTCCTCGTACAAAGTAACCTAAATACAAATATTATTTTCTTTGTTACTTGGCACAGGCAACCTAAAAGAGTGGACACTGATCCTGTATGGCACATCTCAGAACCCTTCCCAGCACCCCGCTGCTCAGTACTCACATTCAAGAATGTCAGAGAACCCGGCTACAGTGGAGATCCTGGAAGAACCAGAGATGGAGGAAGAAGACGAGTACGTTGGTAAGAGAATCAAAGAATTCAACATTGTTCAACAACTTTCCATCCAAACTAAAATACTATTGTTATGTGCCAAGACAAACAAGAGGACGAACGAATCAGTAACTTACTAGAGGTTTCTCAATACTCTAATTTCCCCTCCTCGACTCCTTTCCTCGACTCCTATCCTCGATACTTAGTAGAAAAATATCGACTCTTTGTTTGTAGTTATCTACTAAACTAAAGCAAATAAAGAGAGTAGGCCTGTTATACTGAGTGATATATATTTTACACACTGCTCTGCTTTCTGCATGGACCTCACAGCTGTTCTCTCTGTAAACATCGCGTAGCGATGAAAGCAGTTTCAAAAATAATATCCAGGGGATGCATGCAGAGCTGTCATTGGCTGAGATAAGTCCGTTCCCGGAAATGCGTCCGCGGAGGAGCCGTGGAGGAACCATAGGGCCCTTCTCACTTCGGTTAAATGGATTCCTTGCGTCCCTCACTTGCGTCGTTTCCCTGCGTCTAGTCCCTCCCACCAGGGAAGCATGGAGAGACGCAAGGAAACCACGAGAAGCAGGGAAATTAGTTTCAAGAGCAATGGGACGTCCTTTCCTCCGGAGCGTCACGTCCGTTTGTGATGACGCCGCACAGCTGTTCGTCTGACAGCAGCTCTGTCCCCGTTATTTCCACAGACACCCCCGCCTCTGTTAGTACACATTTACTGACACAAACATTTGTATCATCTGTTGTAGAGCCAAATAAATAAAATAAAATAAGAACTAATTCTCAAAAAAGATAAACGCCATTCTTAAAATGTATAAACGAACATTAGTTGGATTAATATTGATTAGAGTGCACAATAGAAATAAAATAATTGAGAGAAGAAAAAGAGATATGTTGGCTATCAAAACCCAGTTAGATTAACATTCATCGGATTGCACACTTTGTTTGTTTGTGTGGATATGTAGCAAATTAACATTTCAATAGCACTTAATGACTGACTGAATGGAAATGACAATAAATGTAAATGTAAAACGAAAAAAGCGATCATGAAAATGTTTCCAACAAATGAATAAAATGATTTTTGACCACTTTGTTGTTCAGATATATCACATATGTGTAACTAAATGAAACAGGAATTGAAACAAAACACGGTATAAACTGAGGAGTGACTCCCGTGAGGTTCATGTATTTTCTTCACTCCGCTGGGAAACTGCTCTCATGTCAAGAAGCATGAGATCAGTGCATGCACTGCATCGTCCAATCAGTGAGCGAGACACAGTAAGGGGGCGGGGCGAGTGTCTGAGGATTTAATCGGAGGATGGTCTGGTGGTTCCTCGGTTATAGCTCCTCCATTATCGCTCCTCGATCCTCCGGCAAAAATAAGGCCACTGGGACGCTACTCAAGATGGCGCAGACAAATCAACTTCCGGTGAGTACGAGACCGAGGAGCGAGGAAATGAAAAATAAGAGAAGTGAGAAGGGCCCATAGAGGTTTCTCAATACTCAAATTTCCCCTCCTCGACTCCTCGACTCCTCGGTCCTCCGGTAGTGACCCGGAAATGAATTTCAGCGCGCCATGTTGAAGGACATCTAATTTCTCTAAATGCACTTCGAGGACCGAGGACCGAGCATCGAGCATCGAGGAGGCTCTCTGGAGGAGCTCTAACCGAGGAGACACTGATGCATCCTCCACGGCTCCTCCACGGATGCATTTCCGGGAACGGTGGAGGCGTGATGCACAGCCGGACTTATCTCAGCCAATGACAGCTCTGCATGCATCCCTTGGATATTATATTAGTAACTGCTTTCATCGCAACCTGATCGCAACGCGATGTTTACAGTGAGAACAGCTGTGAGGTCCGTGCAGAAAGCAGAGCAGTGTGTAAAATATATATCACTCAGTATAACAGGCCTACATTACTTTCTGTATTTGTATGCTATAGTTTAGTAGATATCTACAAACAAAGAGTCGATATTTTTCTAAGACCATTTAGTGCTTCACATAATAAAATACACAACGGCTGTAGCCTGATTATGCTTTAGGAGCAGTAGGTGTGTGTGGTACAGTGTGTAGGTGTGTGTGTGTGGTATAGTGTGTAGGTGTGTGTTGTACAGTGCGTAGATGCGGCGGACAGACGGTTTGGTGTCCTATGCTTACTTTTAATACTTGTACAACTTTTGGCCTGTCATTTCAATTCCCCATTTCAGCAACCAGAGAGAGAGGGGGGGGGGGGGGGATATATCCAGTCTCTGATTGTGTTACGTTATTATGAGAGTGCTCTCATACTTGTTTGATTCTGAAATTGTATATATTTATATAAATATATGTGTGTGTATATGTCCGCATCTGTAGCCTGTTATTGTGTCATTATACCGCACTGTGAATGAATCAAAGTAAATATATAAGTGGTCATGAACACATCTGTCCATCAGACAGAGGGCTGCTGTGCCTCCTGTCATCATTAATGGACCTCTCTTTAAAATGACCGCTCAGAGGAGAGGAGTTCTCATTTCTCTAACCGCCTACTGCTTCCACTCCTCTCTCCTCGGTTCCCCTCCTCAGTCCTCTGCTCGCATCTCCTGTGGGCGGCACCAAGTCTCGAGGAGGGGAGTCGAGGAGGGGAAATTTGAGTATTGAGAAACCTCTCATCAGTGTATCCTCGGTTAGAGCTCCTCCAGAGAGCCTCCTCGATGCTCGATGCTCGGTGTGCATTTAGAGAAATGAGATGTCCTTCAACATGGCGCACTGAAATCCATTTCCAGGTCGGAGGACCGAGGAGTCGAGGAGGGGAAATTAGAGTATTGAGAAACCTCTACTGTCTGCCCGGACAAGCATCCATATGTTACTTTACTTAATGATCTTGTGGAAAAGGGGAGTAATAAAAAGAAAGAGACAAAACTGATTTGTAAAAACAAAAGATTCTGTTTTCATAATGCTAAAATAAAAGGGCTCCCTGGTCAATTAAAAAACAAACTAAAGATTTAATTTCCTGAAAACACAAAGCGGTACTACTATAATCATATAAATGAAAGAAATACAACAAGTTACTCCTGGGAACATCGCCTAACACATTAAAAACACAAGTCTCAAACAGAAATACACACATAAGCTATTTTCAAGATTCAAGGCTTTATTGTCCTTTGCACAGTAGCTACAGTGTAAATATGGCAGTGAAAACAACTTAAGTCACCTCCAACAGTGCAACATGAACTGATAATGATGATAATGAGGATCAGTTTGTTGATTATAATTCATGTTGTGTTTAAGGACCTTGCCACAGTGAGTGTAGAGACCAGGGCTGTGACGGACCCGACATTGATCACTGCCTCAACTGTGTCCACTTCAGCTCCGGCAGCTTGAAAAGTGGCAGGTAAGAATTCAAAGAAACTCTACATTTGCAAATCTGCCTAGCTCCAAAGAAAGGACAGAACGTCTGGGAATAGTTGGTGAACAGTGATAGCTGGTGACCCAGACAGAGCTTAAAGGAGATTGTAAGGTTGTCCGTAGCTGGCCAGAAACACAATTTAAATAAATTATAATGTTGGTCAATTTGTGCTGGATTGACGGTGTTTGCTAGCACGCTTGCCATAAGAACTTAATAGTATACAGTATTATACAGTTTCTGTTAGCATATGCTAAAATAATCATTAATAGAACTGCCATCAATGCAGCAGTAGCAGGGTTGTGTTCAGGGAGTGGTCTGGGGTAGAACCATCCATCCATCTTCTCCCGCTCATCCGTGGTCGGGTCGCGGAGGTAGCAGTTCCAGCAGAGAGCCCCAAACGTTCATTTCCCTGGCCACATCAACCAGCTCTGACTGGGGGGTCCCAAGGCGGTCACAGGCCAGCGAAGAGATATAATCCCTCCACCTGGTCCTAGGTCTACCCCTTGGTCTCTTCCCAGCTGCACGTGCCTGGAACACCTCCCTAGGGAGGCGCCCATGTCGTATCCTGACTAGGTGCCCGAACCACCTCTACTGGCTCCTTTCGACGCGAAGGAGGAGCGGTTCAACTCCGAGTCCCTCCCGGATGACTGAACTTCTCACCTTATCCCTAAGGGAGACACCAGCCACCCTGCGGAGAAAACCCATCTCGGCCGCTTGTATCCGCAATCTTTTCTTTCGGTCATGACCCATCCTTCATGACCATAGGTGAGGGTAGGAACGAAAATGGCCCGGTAGACAGAGAGCTTTGCCTTCTGGCTCAGCTCTCTGTTGTCACAATGGTGCGGTAAAGCGACTGCAGTACCGCTCCCGCTGCTCCGATTCCCCGGCCCATCCCACGCTCCATTGTTCCCTCACTCGAGAACAAGACCTCGAGATACTTGAACTCCTTCACTTGGGGTAAGGACTCATTCCCTACTTGGAGTGGACAGTCCATTGGTTTCCTGCTGAGAACCATGGCCTCAGATTTGGAGGTGCTGATCCTCATCCCAGCCGCTTCACACTCGGTTGCGAACCGATCCAGTGAGTGCTGAAGGTCGCAGACCGAGGAAGCCATTAGAACCACATCATCTGCAAAAAGCAGTGGTGCAATCCTTAGTCCACCGAACTGCAGGCCCCCTCCCCCACGACTTCGCCTCGAAATCCGATTCATGTATATTACAAACAGGATTGGTGACAGAAATGGGTCCGACTTACTGCCGAGGACACATCTCTCGCTTTGGGAGTGAAGAGATTTGATGGCCCTGAGTAGAGACCCCCTCACCCCATACTCCTGCAGCACCTCCCACAGTATCTCCCTGGGAACCCGGTCATACACCTTCTGCAAATCTACAAAACACATGTAGACCGGATAAGTGTACTCCCAGGCCCCCTCCAGGATCCTTGCGAGAGTAAAAAGCTGATCCGTCGTTTGACGACCAGGATGGAATGGGGTAGAACCATGGATGTTTAAAGGGAACTGGATACGATATTTACTCAGTGGCGCATGATGCCAAAATGGGCTGACTGACAAGAACAAAAATACCAGGCTCGGAGGAGTGGACGTCGAGGAAGATGGCTGCTTAAGTTCGTGGCTCCGGCGCCATCACCATTTATTTTGCTTAAATATACCACTATCAGTGATACTTTTTATCTCAATCACGAGTTATTAGTCCCAACAGTCATCTGTTACATTCAAACATGCCGAATACTAAAAAACCTCCGAAAACCGTAGTTAATGCAACTCAACAACACCTGGTTCTCAAGGCTAATGCTAGCCCGAAGCCTGCGAATGTCTCACTGGACATGTCGGTGTTGAACTCAGCTGCTACTGAGCCTACCAACACCGCGATTCTCGAGCTTCTTCAAAAGCTATCTGAGGACCAAACAAAGCACTGGGAGTGTGAAGTTTCAGTTACGCTGTCTGCCTGGATGGAACCCCCGACCCGCGGGGCGTATACGTAGACCATCGTTTTTGGACTGCCTTTTTCTGGTAACACTTTATTTTGATAGTCCATAGTTAACACTCTACAAGTCATCAGTTGACATTCAACAACACTGTTTCAACAGACAAGTAACATGCATTTAACTAACTGCCAGTAGAATATAAGGTACATCTCAATTGTTGATCTACATATAGATTTTTACAAAAAGTGTCTGTTGACTGTCAACATGTTTTTTGCAACAGGTTATTAACCGATATTCAACCTTACTATCTGTAGATTGTGAGTTCTTGTGAAAAACCTTTTTTTCTCAAGTGAATGCATTAGGCTTCTGTATTTATCTTATATATTAGTCAAATAAAACAGGAACAGGTGTTTCTAACTCAAACATTACATACATAATGAATAAATAAAGTTTGTGATCAGTTTTGCAAAACATTTCACTTTATTCCCATGTCTGTTGCATATAATTAGTGGATGAATGTATGTGTTCTGTTGATAGGTTATAGACTTTCTACTGTTCTCAACTGTTTTTCACTTTAATTGGATAGTCCTAACACATGCCTACAAACGCTTAGTGGAGAATGCCTACTAAAAGTATACTGATAGTCAACTCTAGATTAGTTGACGATCAACAGATAGTCAACTAAACTCTAAAGTTGCTTATCTGTTGATCACCAACTAATGCTTAATGTAATCTTTAGTTGACATCTTGACTCTCAACAGATTATCAACAGATAGTCAACATGACCCTGTTGACTTTCAACTGACAGATTGATTTTGAGTAGTTGATCGTCAATTTTGAAGATGTTGACACAATATACAGATAGTAAGGTTGAATATTGGTTAATACGCTGTTGACATGCTACTAAATGTCAACTGATTACTTATAGAGTGTTAAATATGGACTATCAAAATAAAGTGTTACCCTTTTTCTTTCTACATTTATTTGTTTCATTCTTTTATTATGCACTGACCATATGTAGACCGGTAAGTCTTTCTCTTGTATTCCTAGCCAAGCATAATTTATCCTGTGTGTATGTGTGGGCTGGCGGTGTGTTTGTGGCATAGGTTTGTGGGTGTCTATTATTATGTATGGAAAGCCATAATTGCGCATCCGTGCTCGCGGGTGTGTGGTTGGCGTGGTGTGTTTGTGCCTATATACGCGGGATGGAGTTAAGAGTGTATGGACGCTGATGTGTATAGGCTTGGTGGGAGAGTGCTGGTGCGAGTGTATGCGTGTGGGTGTTGGGCAGGCTGTATGGCTGGGCGTATATCGACATTCCATGTCAAAGTGGTACAAACTATTATCTTGTTGTATCTCTTTTTTCGTTTATTTCACATGCTCTTACGCCCACATTTACATTTTTCTCTTGATTATTTGATGTTGTGATGGATCTTTTGCATGTGTTCTGATGACACACTACGCTGACACGTTGCTCAGCAGTTCGTTAGATCATTGTCTAGCAATTAACAGATATCACCTGATCTAATGGTTGGTGATGGTGCTGCCCCTCTTTTCTTGGGTTGTTTTTGAGTTTGTTTATGTTTTCTGTTTTTTCTTTTTTGGGGAAGGTTTTTTTTGGGATCCAGATCACCATATCCTGCTTGTTGAGGTGACTATACTTTATATTGTATTCTTACACTACTCTACTTATGACTAATCTCAATTTGATTTCCATTAATGCCAGGGGACTGAATATCCCACATAAAAGGACCACTATTTTAGGATTTTTGCATAAGAGAAATATTGACTTTGCCATGATACAGGAATCACATTTACTCATCAAGGATGCGGCCCGCATTGCAAATAGGCTCTATCACCATATTGTCTTTTCGTCTTCTCCTACGAAGACCAAGGGTGTGATGATAGAAGAGAAGGAAGAAGTAAGATGTCTCCCGACAAACTAAGCCTATATCAGCAAAACTAGGGGCTGAATCTAATAGGCCCTAACTATAAGCTTTATCAAAAAGGAAGGTCTTAAGCGCACTCTTAAAAACGGATAGGGTGTCTGCCGCCCGAACAGAAACTGGAAGCTGATTCCACAAATGTGGAGCTTGATAAGAAAAGGCTCTGGCTCCCATTGTACTTTTAGAGACTCTAGGAACAACCAACAACCCTGCATTCTTGGAACGCAATGCCCTAGTAGGACAGTAGGGTATAATGAGTTATTTAAGGTAAGATGGCGCCTGCCGATTAAGGGCTTTGTAGGCGAGAAGAAGAATTTTAAATGATATCCTGTGTTCTATAGGGAGCCAGTGTAAGGCAGCCAGAACAGGAGTAATGTGGTCCCTTTTCCTAACTCTGGTTAGTACACGAGCTGCAGCATTTTGAATCAGCTGAAGCGACTTGACTGACTTCTTGGTACACCCTGATAATAAAGAGTTACAATAATCCAGCCTTGAAGTAACAAATGCATGGACTAGTTTCTCTGCATCGTTTCGAGGCAAGATATGCCTGATTTTTGCAATGTTACGTAAATGGAAGTAGGCGGTCCTTGAAATTGATTTTATGTGGGCGTTAAAGGATAAATCCTGATCAAATATAACACCAAGATTCCTTACAGTCTCACTGGAGGCCAAATTAATGCCATCCATAGTTAGTATATCTTTAGATAATTTGTTTCGTAGATTCTTCGGGCCAAGTACAATAACTTCAGTTTTGGTCGTGTTTAACATCAAAAAGTTTAAGGTCATCCACGTTTTTAAGTCCTTGAGGCAGTCTTGAATTTTATTTAGATGATTAATTTCATCAGGCTTGATTGATAAATATAGTTGAGTATCATCCGCATAAAAATGAAAGTTTACAGAATGATTCCTTATAATATTGCCTAACGGAAGCATATATAATGTGAACAAAATAGGTCCGAGCACTGAGCCCTGTGGCACTCCATGGCTAACTTTGGTTTGCGTGGAAGATTCATCATTGACACGTACAAACTGAGAGCGTTCAGATAGATAGGACCTAAACCAGCCTAAAGCAGTTCCCTGTATGCCAACTAAGTGCTCTAGTCTTTGCAATAAGATATCATGGTCGATAGTATCAAATGCAGCACTGAGATCGAGCAAAACAAGAATAGAGACAAGTCCCTTGTCAGAGGCTATTAGAATGTCATTTGTGACTTTAACCAGAGCTGTCTCTGTGCTATGATGTGTTCTAAAGCCAGACTGAAAATCTTCAAATAAATCATTGTTTTTTAAGTAATCACACAGCTGTTTTGCGACTGCTTTCTCAAGAATTTTTGAGAGGAACGGAAGATTAGAAATAGGTCTATAATTGGTCTATAATTGGCTAAAACCTCTCAACCTGTCAGCGACTCTGAAAATCTGAATGCGCCCATCACATACCACGAAATTGAGAAAGCAGTAATGGACATGCGTAAGGCAGGTCGCCAGGCCCAGATGGTATTCCACCCGAATTCTATCTCACCTTTTGGCCCTTGCTCGGCCCCTTGCTTGTAGAGATGATATTATTTTCTATTAAGGAGGGTTCATTTTTGAGAGACGTCAACACTGCCCTGTTATCCTTGCTTCTTAAAAAAGGCAAGGATCCGACAGAGTGTACTAGTTACAGGCCCCTCTCACTCTTAAACACTGACGTAAAGATCTATGCCAAAGTACTGGCGAGCGCCTTCAGTCTCACATGACGAATCTAGTACATAGCGATCAGACAGGCTTTATAAAATCCAGGCTTGCCGCTGACAATGTAAGGAGGCTATTACACATCATAGATGGGGCCCAACATCTACCTTCCCCAGCTGCAGTTCTCTCACTTGATGCGATGAAGGCCTTCGACCGCCTAGAATAGCCCTTTTTGTGGTCGGTACTCGGGGCAATGGGCTTTGGCGCCCCTTTTATTGACATGGTCAAGGTGCTATATAAAAACCCAACAGCTATGGTGCTTACAGGCAAGGTATGCTCCCCATATTTTGCTATCTCAAGAGGATCAAGGCAAGGCTGTCCGCTAAGCCCCTTGCTATTTGCGCTGTCACTTGAGCCGCTGGCACACACCATTCGTCAGTCACCCACGTTATCCCCAATCTCTATTAATGGTACGCATCATCATCTTTCGTTATATGCTGATGATGTGCTATTGTATTTGGGCAATGCTGTACAATGTATCCCAAGAATACTGTCTATTGTCGATCGATATGGTCAGCTTTCTGGGTTTAAGATAAATTGGCAGAAATCTGCTTTGATGCCACTTAACCAGGTAATGATCAATGCACCTGTCCCTCCATCTATCCCAGTTGTCAAAACGTTTACATACCTGGGGATAGACGTTTTTCCTTCGATTCAGACAATAGTTAAACATAACTATGGTAACACGCTTCATAAAATAATTTCTGATTTGGATAGATGGTCTTCATTGCCTAATTCACTTCGCAGCCGTGTATCAATAATCAAGATGAACATTCTACCCAGAGTTAATTTTTTTAGTTCAATGCTACCTCTTACTCCACCAACTCAGTACTGGAGCAAGCTACAGACAGCTGTGACGAAATGTTTATGGCAATGCAAACGCCCACGCATCAAGCTCTCTACAATGCAGCGGGAAAGACAGGCCGGGGGTTTGTCTCTCCCAAATTTTAAACACTATTATTGGGCCTTCACGCTAACCTGGCTCCAGTCTGAGACATCAGTGTCATGGCGGGCCCTGGAAGAGAGTCTAGTGCATCCTTACACCCTTCAAGATCTCTTGTATTCAAACATTCCTATTGCGCAGTGTCGTTGCAGGTTCGGCCCCATTGTATCACAATTGCTGTCTGTCTGGAGGGCGGTAGAGAAACTATGTGGCTGCCCCTATGCATGGAATCCATGTTCCCCATTATTTAACAATGCCAGATTGTTGATTGGTGGCCATCCCATTCAGTTTCCTCAGTGGAAAATGAGAGGGGTTCATATACTGGGGAACGTCTATGGAGATGAAGGTCTGCGTTCGTTTCAGGAGCTGTGTACAGAATTTGATTTACCTCGTTCCTCCTTTTTCTTTTATTTACAGTTGAGGTCGGCTTTAAGGGCTAGTGGTGTTCCATTGCAAAGTCCTCTATCACCACACCCGCTGCATAACATTCTACACTCCACTAGAGGTACAAGTGGCCTTGTTTCCAAACTTTACTGGTTCATTTCACAACACACTTATAGACTCCTGGCGTTAGAGGCGATATGGATGGCCGATATCCCAGATCTGGATCCAGAGTTTGATTGGGATGAAGTCTGGTCCAATATACTAATAGCTTCTAGGAATCCTGACCACCAACACATACATTATAATTTCACTCATCGAGTTTACCTTACACCTAGGAAGCTTTGTTTAATGAAAATAATTGCTGATCCAAATTGCACTCTATGTGACATAGAGGCTATTGGTACTTATATACATATGTTCTGGGAATGTCCGCCAGTGGCCAGATTCTGGGAGATGGTTGCTTCTAACCTTTCGGCGATATTTGAGACCAACGTGCCTCATTTACCTGTTACACTGATCCTAAACGACCTGTCCAATCTGGGTTTAACCCTGACCAAAAGGCGAGCACTATTTGCCGGGCTTCCACCGGTTGCGACTCTGTGGAAGCCTCCCCATTCCCTCTCACGTAAGGTCTGGGTTCTAACATATCTAGACATATCGTATCTAGAAGTATCGACAGCCCGGGTACATGGGGCAAAGGAGTCAGCAATAGAGATGTGGACTTCGCTCATTGTGAACCTCAAGAGCATATTAGGATAACTATCTAATGGGGATGGTGATCTGGAGGGGTGGGTTAGGGACGTCACTGGGTTTTGTTTCTTTCTTTAGTTGTGTGCTGTTTTTGTACTGTATTGCATTTTATGTTATTGATTGTACCATTTGTTTAATAAATAAAAAATGTGATCACAAAAAAAAAAGAACAAAAATACCAGATCATCTGAGGTTCTGGGCCCTTGGAGCATGTACAATGTAGTTTTCCTAATCCTACAATCCCAATGTAAGTCAATGGAAAAAAGTATTTTTGGGCTCGATGACGCCACACCAATGACACAGAAGTTGTAATCCTACCGTTTTGGCCACTACAAAAATATGCACCAATGGCCGGCTCATTTCCTAGGGTATTGGGTAGAACAGGTCACCCTTGGAATCAGATTTCCCCGATCCACCCATGCAAGCCCTTCCATATTTAGCTGCAAACTAACTCTCACCATGCTGTCCCTATGTGTAGAACCTGTGTGAGCCACTGTCCTCTGGGACACTATGAGGACATCGCGTCCCGTCGCTGTAGACACTGCTTTAAAGGCTGTGAGGAGTGTGAGGGCCGGTCAGCTAGCAGCTGTCTGTCCTGCAGAAGAGGCCTGTACCTCAACACACTCAACTCCAGCTGCATCCATACCTGCCCCACAGGGTACTTTGCTGATGAGAGTAAGTCAACACGTCCTTTTAATACATATCTGATATTTAGCAGTGATGTAGGTCAGGGGTTTGAAACATCTGAGCTCCATGGTCGGTTCTATCAGTTTAATGCCGATAGAAATGTTTGGGGTGTTAGTGGTTATTGAGTTACAAACATTAGTCTCATAGTATCACACATTTGGATTTGATAGGCTTTTATCTACCATACCTAAAACATTCTATTTGCTCCATATTAGCAAGCTAGTTGTAATAATCAGTTTACATTCTAAACCTAAATTACCACTATAAAGATTCAGGAGCTACTGGGGTTCCTAAACCAAGCAAAGAGAGGTGGTGATAATGAAAGTGTGTCCTCCTAAATAATAAACTTCCCACCCACACTCAAAGCCAAGAAAGACTTTCACTGGCATCTCAAAGAAAATGTAATATGTAAATATATATATAATATAAAAATATAATCCAAGTCGAACAAGGCCTTGCAAAAAGAGGCCTTGCTGTGGTTTATAATCATGATGTGAGCATTATGGGGAGTAATAGGAGTAGATGCAGACACCCCACAAAATACATGGTGATAACTAATTACATAAAACAGTCTATTATATTGAATATTATTCAACCATAACGTCTCCTGGTGTCCTATTAGTAAATTGTCTAAACTTAAAGCCTGCTGTGTTCTTAGGAAATGTTAAGAAAATCATCGTAATTGTATTATTTGCAGCACTATATTGATGCTTGAGCATGCTGTCTATGCCAGATCAGAGACAGTGTCTGAAGTGCCATGACACCTGTATGACATGCCTGAGATATGGAGATAGGTGCACTGCCTGCAGCGAGGGCTACAGGTATGTAGAAACAGTCTGTCCGCCATTTACAGTTTGGTTTTGACCACGTTTCGAATGTAATTGATTTGTGTTTATAGTCTGGCAGGAATAACTTGTGTTCCTGATTGCACCAATGGGACATTTTCCAACCTGGAGGAGATGACCTGCAGCACATGCCATTCCTCTTGTAGGACTTGTACAGGTCAGTGTGTTTGGTATGAGCAGTTTCTACAGTGCCATCACAGAAACAGACCAAATAAAACCTCCAAGTGATGAGGGAATTGCTAAACCTGAGGTTAACCTAGCAGGCATAGTTGAAAAAGATTCAGGTAAGAAAATGCAGTCATAACTTATGTTTGTAGGTTGACCCGGAAGTGAGCATAGCACAAGCTCCCTTGAAAAAAGCAATGGGATTTTCTTCTATAGGATTTTAGAATATTGCAGGAAATAAGATCTGTGGCAAACATGTCTATGATATTTACATGTTTTGTTCAGAAGAATAATCCTCACGTACTAACACCACTTTTATGTTTTTGGAAGCGTAAATACAATCTGCAGAAGTAAAAGCTAATGGCTATAAATTAACTAGATAAGGGGCACATGGCTGTGTGTCAGTACCTTTAAGCTAAAGGCGGCTAATGTTGTTAGCAAACGCCGTTTTTAAGACACATATACGTTTCTGACACCATTAGATCACCAGTAGACGTGTTAACTGACATATTTCATGTCATAGAACAAAACGTGAACATCTCTTTAACTTTTGTTAAAGGTCTCCTATCATGCAAAATTCACTTTTTGATGTCTTTTATACATAAATGAATATGTGTACCCGGTATGTCAGGGAACTCACAAAGTGTCAGAAAACCAAACCCTCCCTCTTTTCCTCTGTACCCTAATCTCTAAAAATGGGGGAACAACGGAGCTGATCCAGATTTGCTGCCAATATGACGTTATATCGGAAATGTGGGCGGGCTTTACACCCACGGCCCTATCAGAAACATTGCTGTATCAGAAACAATGTGCTACGTGTTTTGGAAGTAATATGGTCTTTGTTTACATTAGCAAGCATCGCTAACACTCAGAGCTAATCTGTACTGGACAGAGTATGTGTACAAAATAAGGGTATAAAAAGGAACTCAGCTTGTGGTAAACCCGCGAGAAAAAAAGCATTTGAGCTCCATACTGTTTCAGAAATAATCCTTGATGTGGTTTGGAACATAATATGGCGTTTAATCATGGCAGCATTTAGCTGGGAATCTGGGTAGAATTCTCCTGCATGAGCTCTTGTCTCGGCTCTCGTTTTTCTTTTTCTTTTTTTTTAAATCTACGGACCCAGAATCAGCACTTCTCTATAAGGCTGAAATAGAGGGGTATGATCAGGGCTGCACATAACTGGTGCGCAGGTGCGCATGCGCACCTCCGCCAAAAAAAGAGCACCGGGTCATTTGAAACAAAGCGCATTTGCGTACCAATATTGAGAGAGAGAGAGAGAGAGAGAGAGAGAGAGAGAGAGAGAGAGAGAGAGAGAGAGAGAGAGAG